TACATTTACACCAACAGTTGTACACTGAAGCCCTCGACCGTGGTGGACGTGCTGGCCTCGGCCATCGAGTACGGCCTGGATGGCCTGGCCGCTTGCTGTGCCAACTACATCACCGACAACCTTACCGTCGACACCGCCTGCGGTGCCATTCAGGTACTGTGATCGTTTTTTTTTTTTAGAGGGGGGTGAAGGGGGGCATGGATCCTGCGTTGTGGGCCGGATGCGACATCATCATACTCATAACTACCCATATGACCATGCGCCCTTTCTCTCTTGGTTGTGTTTCTCCATTCCAGGCGGCCATTGCGTACGATCAGATCGAGCTGCGTGATCGCTGCATGACCTTTATCGAAGAGCACACGGCCGAGGTCTTTCACTCCAAACATTTTGTTGAAATTTCTGCGGAAACCTTTGCACACATTCTCGAATCGGATAAGCTGCGAGTACCCGAGAGCACCGTTCTGGAAGTGGCCAAGAACTGGGCAAGTGTCAACGCCGTGGTGACCGGCCAATCACTCAAGGACACCATTGCACCCGTCATCGAGCATGTGCGCCTGCCCCTCCTGGACGCCGCGACCCTGCAACAGATTGAAGCCGACAACGAAAAGGATCCCATCGTACCAGAGCGCCTCATTTCCAAGGCCTGGAAATACCAAGCCACTCGCAAGGCACCCGCTGACGACAAGCACTTTGTGCCTCGCGCAGGCTCTTAACAGACTGAACCGATGCTGTCTTTAGTTCCGCGAAATGTCTTGTCAACGATTGCCCATGGCGCTACCTTGTAAAGGTGCTTAAATCCAAAAAATACAATGTCTTTTTTACATCTTGAAAGCTTCGAATAAAGGGCGGCGGGTTAAGCGTCGAGTTTGCACGCAGGTGTGAGCCCGTGAGCATGAGAGCGTGACGGGTTATGAAAACGAGCCATGAGCTGAATGCGAATAATTAATAATTGTCGCTCAAACCAGAGCCCGTGTTGCTTGCTTGCATGCTTTTCTGCTTCTTTTCATTCTCAATAAGAGTTTTTTTTTCCTTTCCGGTCGGGTCGAGGGTCATGGCACGAACACGGACAGCGAGGATGGCGGCACATGGATTAGTGGTGATGATGACCAGCGTGGCCTGGCTTTGCCAGTCTGTGGCTTGCTTCGACTGCTCGCCCGTACCCATCACATCAGACGATATTCTGTTTTACAACCGGTGCGTGAGTTTAAATGCCTGCGCCAGATATGCACCAGCGTCCTGGGGGTTGACCATGCAGGGCATTTGCAACTGTAGGATACCCAAAGCTGGTGGGACTTCGCTGGTTCGGCTAGCTCATGCGATAGCCGACTCGCCGAAGCGTCCATTTTCCGCGGTCTGGCAGATCATGGACGACCGAAATTTCTTCGATGAAGATAAAGAACGCTCCAATGTCGGTAGCGTGATGGCAAAGAAGCATCACCATGCGGATCGTCCGGTGCGTGGCCTGTCTCCTTCAGAGCTCGTCTTGTTGCATCTTGTTTGACTGTGGGTGACGGCTTGTGCTACGGTCGACGGATCGTATGTAACAGATGTTCTACGAGCAGCACGTCCGGCTCTTGAACTTTTCGCGGTTCGGTTATCGCCAACCCATCCATATCAACATTGTCCGAGGTAGGAAGCGACTCCCAGAGCTCAGCGCCGGTCTCTACGGCCCGCCCTTACGGTGCAAGTAACATGGCGTGCTAGAACCAACTGAGCGGGTGCAATCAAGCTACTACTACCAGCGCTACGCCAATATCCCGTACACCGCCCAGTTGCGATCTTGGCTGGGCGAGCAATTTGACTGGAGTATCAACAAGTGCATCGAAGCAGAGTACGGCTGCAAGTCCTGGCCCTGGATGATTGACAACATGAACCTGGTTTGTCTGTGCTGGTTCTGTGCTGCGTACCCTTGATGTTTCTCATACCCTTGATGTTTTTTTTTATTTTTTTCCCAAACTTACTGGGCTTCTGCAGTGGCCTGTGGGTCTGTGCCAACTCACATCTTGCCATCGTGTTTTGGTGACCTGTACGCAATCTTACACAGATGGTTGGATTCTTCTGCGGGCATCACGAAGATTGCAGGGACCGGACCTCCGCCATCGCACTGGAGCGCGCCCAAGCCAACGTGCTGCACCACTACGCTGTGGTCGGGGTTACAGAGCGTTACAACGAGTCGGTGTGGATGCTTTCGCAGGTCTTGCCCACGTTTTTCAAGACCCTCCCGGACTTTTACGAACAAAAGCCGGTTCACAACGCGAATAATGCCAAGCCGGAGCTGCTGACCGATGCAAACCGTCGCAAACTCTTGACGCTCGGGCAGGATGAGCGGCTGTACGATTTTATCCAGGGGGTCTTCATGGAGCGCCTCGCTGCCTGCCGACGTCGCTTTCCAGAAGCATGAGCCAGACGTGCGTGTACGGCCCCTGTGAGTGCTGCGCGCTCAGTGGAATTCCTGATGGTAACAGTATAAATGCAATGATACTTTTTTTAATCTTTTTTTGATGTTTCATCTTGAAGAGAACCAGTGGGGGAGCAGGGCTGGTGCACCTGTGAATGAGACAACAGCGAGGAGGGGCAGCGTTCAAGTTTACATGTTGGATTAGGCTGGCGTGCCTTGAATAAATTGGGAGACAAAAACGACAAGAAGCAATGATGTTGAAGGCACGGGCAAGAAGCTTTTGAAGAGCCGACACGAGCCGGCATTACGGCTATCGATGATTTGGCTCATTGCTTGAGCATCGCAGCTACCGTCTCGGCGATGGGCGTGGTTGGCTTGCCTGTTAGCGCGCTCAGCGTCTTGCTGTTATCAAACAGGCCACCCTGGGCCGCACCGTTGTCCGAGTCGGCAAGCATCTCAGCAATCGGCTCGGGCAGGCCGATGGATTCGAGGGCTGCCTTGTAGGCATCACGATCAAGGGGCACGTACTCGACCGTCTTGCCGCTCTGCTTCTGCACTTCAGCCGCCAGCTCAGCCAGCGTGTATGCCTCATCACCAGCCAGCTCGTACGTCTTGCCGGCGTGCTGTGCGACTGCATCATCGGCCAGCAATACGGCAGCTGCCGCATCTGCATAGTTGGCGCGGGACGCTGACGCAATTTTGCCCTTGGCGGAAGCACCCATTAGCTTGCCCTGCGCCACAGCACCGCCAATCGAGCTCTCATAGTTCTCGTTGTACCAGCCGTTGCGTAGCAGCACGTGGGGCACGCCGCTGGCCTTGAGTGCAGCCTCGGTCGCGTTGTGCTCCGCCGGCAGCACAGTCAGGGCCGACGTGTCGGTGTGGAGCAGCGAGGTGTAAGCGATCAGCTTCACACCCGCCCACTTGGCCGCGTCAATGACGTGCTGGTGTTGCGCCGCGCGCTTGCCGACCTCGCTGGATGAGACGAGCAACAGAAAGTCCACGCCCACGAGGGCACTGGTCGCGGGCTGCTCAAAGTCAAAGGCGCGAATCGTGACGCCCTTGGCCCGAAGCGCAGCGGCCTTGGATGGCGTGCGAGCCAGGCCGACAATCTGGGACGCCGGCTGACCGCGCGCCAGCAGCTTCTCAACAGCCAGCGCACCGAGGTTGCCGGTCACGCTAGTGACAGCGATCGTGTGGGTCGTGTTGGGCATGGTAATGGTTGTGGTTGTTTCTTTCGCAAAGTGATCGATGGGCAAGTGTCCAGTTGAGCTCTTTGATTACATGTGAGATCGAGAGTTGAAAAATGATACTTCTGGGGCGGGTCGAGCTACTTGACTGGACGTGCGAGGCGCTCTGGTCCCAGTGACAGCCCAAGACATGAGGCTCCTGCCATCTAAAGAATTCGTCAAGGTCTGACCGAATGACGAGAGTGTCCCATGACGCCAGCCGGTCATGTGGTGGCAGTGGGAATAATTGATTGAGTGTGGCAGGGGTCACGGGGTTCATCAGTTCTGGGCGAAGCACCGCTCTGCTTGTGTAAAAAAAAAAGCCCCATAGTTAATCCGTGTGTGTGTGTGTGTGTGTGTGTGTGTGTGTGTGTGTGTGTGTGTGTGACAGAAATGACGACACTTCGCAAAAGTTTTCCCTTGGACCTTGATCTCGTATTTTGACTTCTTGATTCGGATTTTAAATTCTTCATCCTTTTTTTTTTTTTTTTTTTTTTTTTTGGAAGATCGTGTCGTTGTCGGTCGAGGAAAGGGCAGTGGCGGGCGGACCTTTTGAGGCGAGCGTGGCACGGGTGTTGCACAGCGCAGGTGGGGGAGCAACGTGTTGTGTGTTTGTTGAGGCGGGCGTCATGGCGGAGGATTGGCAAGCGCGCTGCCTCAAGGCCGAGGCGGACCTCAAGGAGCTGGACGAAAGCTTCAACTTGCTTGAGCAGGAGCTTGATACTGAGATTACGCAGCTCAAGCAACAACTCAAGGATGAGCGTCAGCAACGCGCCAAGTACGAGCGACTGGCAGATGAGGCATCGGTGGGTCTTGACTGTATTGCTTTGGCTTTAGCTGGTGGATTGTTGCTTTCTATCCATGGACAGTGGCATCGGTTTCCTCACACGGCGCTCCTGTGCGCGCAAGAGACAGAGCAAAGGTGGTGCCGAGAGCAATGCCTTGCGCCAGGAAAACTCAAAATTGATGGAGCAACTCGCGCAAAGTGAAGCCGAGACTGAAAAGGTCTGTTGCCTGTTTCCAAGCAATGCCCGCACATCCTGTACGACGGAGCAATTTGTTCTTCGACACTACCGTGCCTCCGTCTTCAGTGTGTGTGTGTGTGTGTGCGTTCTCACGCTTGTCACATGCATTTTTGTCATGGCTAGCTCCGTGCACGCGTGCGTGAGCTGGAACAGTCGACCGAGCACGCAGAGCAGCAGTGCCGACAATTGGAAATGTCCAAGGAAAATTTGGAGGACCAGGTCCAGGACCAGCTTGAGCAAGTGGCCATGGTGCGCTCCGACCTAGAAGAGCGCGATGAAATCATTCAGCGATTGCAAGACGACAACAAGGGTATGTCGCACATTGACCCTTAAGCCAACTGATTGATTCGATGACCGCGTCTCCTCGTGCGTGTTCCTGATGTTGATGGCGGTGAATTTTCTTTTCCCGCTAGATCTTCTGGCTGAGCTTTCCGTGGCCAAGACCAAGCTGGAGGACTTGGCCAACAGCATGTCTGCGCCGAACGAGGCTACGGCCGCTGAACCCCAGGCCGAGGGTGGCTTGACGCGACTGCAGGCCCTGACGTACTGCCTCACGCTGTCCTCCCGCCTCTTGCACCTCGAGTCACGGCTGCCCGCCTTGGCTTCGGCGTAGGGGCAAAATTGCTTGACTTGTTTGTCGTTGTCGAATACGGTGGAGGAGATGGCTTGGTAGCATAAACTGTCCCATCCACAGAGTACAAGACAGAAAGATGCATAGGACGGCTTGAGCGCCCGGCAAAAGACTTTTGTCCTGCACGGACGCCTGCTACAGGTGTATGAATATTGGTGAATAGATTTTTTGAGTGGAAATGAATCGAACTACCAATCTGTTGCTTGGTTAGTGAGATGAGAGGGGATGGTCCACCTGCGGGCTGCCAACCTCCACGCCGTAGGCATACGAAACAGAATACCGCGTACGCTTCTCGGGTGGGACCGAGTTGCTCCTTTGCTCAACCGTCTGGATGCGTCCATCGGGACGCGGGCACACGATGCAACCCTCTTGCTCGGGTCGCCGTTGCGTCCAGGGCCGAATACCCTTCCATGCAGCAATGGCGCCTCGCAGCATGGAGTGTCGCTCCTTCCAGCGTTTGACCACAGTGACCTACAACAACGGGACGAGGGCGTGTTGAGTTGGCATTGAGAGTAGTGATGCCACACAATTTGCACCGCCACACGAGTTGGTAACAAGGCAGGGCAGCCGAGGCCGGACGCAGGGAACAAACCTCCTTCAGAGCCGAGATTACAATGGTGGAGAGGAGAGAGCCCAGTTCGTGATCCAGAATTTCGGGGCACTTTTGCAAAATGTCATAGCCATCGTGGCCCGTGGCCAGGTAATAGCGGGTGGCCAGACGGTACGTGCGGTTGAGATCAAGCTCCTCGTGCTCTTCGCCCACCAAAACCTCCACGACGCGCTCCATGGGTGGCATGGCTGGATCAAATGTGAACCGAAAGCCCGAGATCTGGGGAAACCGCCCGTCGTGCGCTGGATACTTGCTGACACCATTTTCCAATGCTTCCAAAAGCTGCTGCCCAGTAATGGAAAGCACCACGCATGGGTCCTGAAAAGGCAGTATCGTGTTGATGTCGCGAGCAGTGATTGGCCCAGCCTCGTAGACCGTGTCGGAGCGCAGCGTCCCACCGCACAGCAAGCCTAAAATAACCAATGACGGGAACGGGAAAAAAAAAAAAAAAGGTTGGATCATCAGCCTCTGGGTTGTGGATGTTATGGGCTGTTTTGATTCGGGTGGAACACGTGTGCTGCCCAAAGGCCAACGCCGGCGCTCAGAGGTGCGAATATTTTCTGCACGTACCAAGTTCAGCACCGTAACGCAGGCGCATCACACCCGCAAAAAAGTTACCCACGTTGGATTCCTGAAACACCAAACGCCCCCAGTGAGCCAGGGAGATGTGCAGTTTGACTTGAATCGACTGCCTGACGGGTACACGATGGGGGCAAACGAGCAGGGACACAACGCACCTTGGTGCGAACGGCTTCAGCACGGACGTCCCAGTCCGTCTCGGTGTAGCCCACAACCTTGTCGAGGGTTTCAGAGATGTGGGCTTCCATGTCCTCGACAAGCTTTTCCATTTCACTGTCTTGCGGCATGGAGCCAACGACCTCGATGCGCTCAGACTTGACCTGCCAGCGCTCACCGCCAGCGCCTCGCTCGGCTTCGAGGATGGTAAACTCCTGAAAGTCGGTTCCCGACTTGGAGACGAAGCAATCCCCGTGCTGCTCTTGCTTGTAGAAATGGTCATGACCGCCAAAGACCAGATCCAGCCCGGGAACACTATCGGCTAGACGTTGGTCATTGGGTAAACGCATGTGGGTAATGGCCACAATCAAATCGCACTTTTGCTCCTTCAAAAACTAGGGGGTGGGAAGCAGAAGTCGTCAAAAAGTCAGTGTCGGTCCGGGTGGCATAGAGGCGAAAACGTGCACGGCCCAACGATGCAGGATTTGTGGCACAGCGAGCAACAGACTTTGACTTGTTCGTGGGCCACCTCGATAAAGTCGCGGTAGACCATGTTCTCTGGCGGATCGGGGAGCGTGCCCACCCTGGAAAATGCATCGGCCGCCTGCGATGAGAATGACCCATTGGCACCACGGCAGGGAGTAGGCAAACAGGGAGAGCGGGACCGGACCATTCTTCTTCGCCGAGGCCAAAAAAGCCGATTCGGAGGTCATTGTGCTCGTGGATCAGGTGGTTTTTGGCGGTGCCGATGCACGATCCATCGGCGTGGTGCATGTTGGCCAGAAGCCAGGGAAAATTGCAGTCGTTGGAAAGCTTGATGAGCGTGTCTTCGCCAAAGTCGAGGTCATGGTTGCCGTACGTGGCCGCCACAATGTTACACTTGTTCAAAACGGGAACCATATGCGCACCCTTGGTGGCTGAGGAAAGCAGTGATGGGTTGAAACAGTCGCCTGTCGGGCCAGGCCGGGTGCAAGCGTTAAGGATGGGGGAAAAAACCGATGAGGAGCGGGGCTCGGGCTTATCGGCGAGCGGGATGACGATGACCCACCACTGAATACAACGAGGGCATCCGGGGCTTTATCATGGATGGCTCGAACAAAGCGAGCTGCCCCACCGACAGGCTCCGTCTAGGAGGCACAAGGGTAAGCAGGGTTAGCCAAGTGGGGCGTTGGGGCCAGTGGCCGAGCAAATGAAGAACCATTCAAGTGTGTGCGCCACGTACGTCCTTGGGACCGATGCGATAGACGTCGTTAAAGTGGACAAAGCGAACGCGCTTGGTCATGATGAGGATGGAACGATGCCAGCTATGTCACCAGGGGCGCTGCCAAGACAAAAGCCTCTCCTGAGCCGGTCTAGACATGCAGGACGTGACCACTGAGTGACAGGTAACACTCGTGCGGAAGAGTGATGAGGCCGCGACGAGTCTTACCAGGTTTCAGCACCTTCGTTGACAAGTGCAAAAAAAAAAGTCTGGCAGTTGTACAAGGCGTAACACCCGCAAGAGCACCACCACCACCACTAGGAAGAGGAAGGGGGGAGAAAAACAGGAGGCACAAGAGGAGAGGGAGGCAGGAGGCAGGGCCGAAGGCGGGCGAGGGGGGTGAAGGTGCAGGTGCGAGCGGTTGTGAAGTCACGAGCAGGGTCAAAAGCAGCGAGCGATGGTAATAAAAGTAAAACACTTTTATGTATGTGTGGGGATAGAGCGTAGTATGTGGAAAAATGGGTGCGAAATACTTTTAGACCGGAATGCGGCCGTTGAAAACAGCCGTCTTCAACGTTATCTCTAAATCACATGCAGAACGACTGTTGTCGACACCATTCTTGTACCAGCTGTGTAGTGAAAGTGCGATATGTGTCACACTTTGTCAGCTCGGAAAGCGCAGTAACGAGTGTGTGTGAGAGAGAGAAAAAAAAAAAAAATCAGAGTGTGAGCCAGCAGCCGGCACAAAAGGGCAGCGCTCCTCCACTGATCGCGCGCACACGCTTGTCTGCGTGTGGGTGGGTCTTGCGTGCGTGTGCATCTGTTGCCTAGGTGTTGAGTTGCAGTGTGTGCGTGTGGGTTTGGAACCTCATCGCTCGCACAGCTCCTTGACTTGTGTGGATCGCTTCCCGGTCAGCTCGTCGAACGAACGACATGGCCGAGGTCACTGCAGCCCCGACCGATGCGGCACCTCCGCCGCCACCAGCGGAGGCACCGCAACAAAATGAACAAGCCAATAATGCAGCTGCGCCGGCTCCACCGATGCCCCACCAGCCCGGCCCTCCCATGCCTCCCAACATGATGCAGCCCCCGCCGCACATGATGCCGCCGGGCCCGCCGCCACACATGATGCCACAGCCTCCTTTTGGGTAAGGTCTTTGACGACCCTGATTCAGCAACCCGCCTTTGTTGAAAAATCCTTGCCCCCTTTCTTTAACTCATGTCCCTCATTCTTTTCTGCCATTCAGACCGCCTGCTGCTGAGGCTGGTGCACCGACCGAAGCCAATGTATGTTACCCGTCTCCTCGCACTGTGTCGCTCCTTTAGCCAGGCGTGGTGGCTGGTGGTGGTACCCAACTGGCCTGGATCCAGCTGACAGCATGATTGCCTTGGGCTTTGCTCTGGGCGTTTCACTTTAGGCCGAGCCGGCCGTGGAGCTCGAAGAGCCCAATCAAACGCTGTACATCAACAACCTCTCCGAGCGTGTCAAAGAGGACGAGCTCAAGAAAGCGCTTGAGGCCATCTTCAATCAGTTTGGAAAGATTCTCCGAGTGGTTGCCATGAGCTCCTTCAAGCGCCGTGGTCAAGCCTTTGTTGTCTTTGACTCGATCGAAGCCGCGGAGAAGGCCCTCAACGCTATGCAGTCGTTCCCCTTTTGTGGCAAGCCCATGGTATGCCTCAGCAACGGTCACAGTCTCGCGCTGATTTTGATGTCGCACCCGCTGTTCTTGTCGACGCTCGCCTGGTTTTGTTCTTGATTCCCCTGTTCTTCCTCTCGGTGTGGTTCTGTTGCTTTTCGCCTCATTCATCACGGCGGGCCACTCCGTGCTTATCGAACAGCGCATCAATTTCGCCAAGACAAAGTCGGACATTGTGGCCAAGAACGACGGTGCCTTCAAGCCGCGCGTCAAGGCCCCATTGGGTCCTCGCCCTACTCCACCAGGTCTGTTGCCTCATCCTTGGGGGACTTTCCCACCTTTGAGCGGTTTTCTCCTCAAAAACTTGTGAACAAGCCACAAGCTGCCCAATCACCACTCACGGAATTCACCTCGGTCGATTGCCTGTCAACTCTTAGGCACCAAGCCGCGCGTCAAGCCACCACCCATGCCTGTGCAACCCCCACCTCCGCCCCCACCCGCAGGTGGTGGCCAGGCGCCCTACCCCGGTGCCGGCGAGTACATGCAGGCCCCGGGCTCACCCGGCGAGCCCAGCAGCAAGCGGGGGCGTTACGAGTCTGGCGAGGCGGCCCCGCCCCCGCCCCCGGGACCACCAGGCCAAACAGCCCCGTCCGGTCACGCTCCCGCGGCCCCCCCGCCCAATATGGGTACGCTTGATGATATTCGACATGCCATTGCCACGATGATGTCCAAGCCTGTAGCCAGTTTTCCACTGATACCTTTGCTCTTTTTTCTTCTGTTTCCCCTCCTCCCTCTTTTCTGTACGGAGCAGAAGACCCAAGCCCCATTCTCTTTTTGGAAAACTTGCCGTCCGATCGCACGCAGGAAATGCTCACGGTCAGTCAGCCTTCACCCTTTCATCACCGCTTTCAACAACGTCAACCAGAAGGCTTGAGAGACTGCTCGGCCCGTCTCACTTTGCAATCTGCCACAGGCATTGTTCAAGGAGTTTCCAGGCTTCAAGGAAGTACGCCTGGTACCCATTCGCCCCGACATTGGGTTTGTGGAGTACGAGAACGAGGTGCAGGTGAGCCCATTTTTCCTACTCTTGTCACGTTCAACACCCCATATCACTGCCGCAGCGTCATCTGATTGCTCGAATGTTTGGCTGTCTGGATTTTTTACCTTGATGTGCAGGCCAGTGCGGCCTTGCCCGCGCTGAATGGCAAGGAGGTCACGCCCGGAAACAAGATGCGCGTGTCCTTTTCCAAGAAGCGATAAAGCGGCGCTTGTCCGCATGGTCCGCGTCGGGTGCACGCCCCGGCCAGTGTCCTTTTGCCTTCATGTCGAGTCTGAGCTCGATCCACGCAGTTGCCTTGTGAATGATAAAAAAATCAGAATAAAACTTGAACTTGCGATCCCAAGGTCACACAGCCTGTGCCCCTGATTAACTGGGCTGAATAAACATTCAGCTCTCAGAGAGCAGTCATATTCACGTTCGCCGCCGTTTTTGAAGGGACAGGAAGCCATCTCCCCCGCGGCCCGGAGAACAAGGAGTTTTCTTTTGTCGTTGTTGCTGTTGCTGTTTGTTGGTTTGAACACTTGGATGGCCAGATGCACACGGCCATGAGATCCATGATAAGCAGACGAGCAGGAAGCAACTGTGAAATTAGAGATGCGTTTGCTGTTGCATTTGTGGTATAGTAGTGTGTACTGACAGAGACAACCAAGGCCATGCACCACTCCAACACACACGCACGCACGCACATGTGCGTCATAAAAGGGTTTAGCTTGCGGCGATTTGGGAGCACACAAGCAGTCAGTTGGTGCAGCGGCTGCAGGATTTGCTTGTAAGACCATACGAGAGAGAGTTTTTGAATCTTCTACTTATTGTCAAACAAAGGAAAATCCTTTTCCGTTTGCTGCTTGTGGTGTAGTGTCTTTTTCTTCTTTGGCGTCGGTCTGGATAGACATCGGAGTTGACATCACTATTGGCGGCTGGCTGCGTCAGTTGTCGTACCTTGGCTTGATCCCCGGTGCTTGATACGGGGTTCATCTTTGTTGTGGGCGTCTGGCGACGTCGGGGCGATTGGTGGGTCATCAAGCGCGCTGCCTCTTTTTTCCCTCACCACGCTACCGCGCTCACACGTTCGACGCTGTGCGCCAGGCAAACGACAACACAACGCTTTTTGCACCGTGACCAGGGCTCAGCCTCCCAGCATACCAAGGGGGAGCTGGGGAGCAAGGCTCTGCTCACCGGCTGCCGTTTTGACGCGCGCGTATTCGAGTCCGAGCCTGTGGAACCAGTCCGACATTGAATTGTCAGACATTTGTATTTCAAGACGGCTCCTGAGATTGGTCAAGCGCTTCGGGGCTGTGATCGAGAGACACCGTTGCCATGAGTACTGCGAGTGATGATGGAGAGCAGCTGTACAGTGCTTGTCAAATGAAAAATCCAAGCACGGCGCTGCAGCTGTTGAACAGCTGGGACGAACAACGAATTCGATCCGCTGTTACTTTTGAAGATGCGGTATGTCTGACGATTGATTGTGCTCGCGTGCGTACTACTGGCTCAGCTCAAGTAGCCCCATAAAGCCAAAACTGCAATGTGACCTGTGCCTCTCCGTAATGGTGTTGCATCAACCCACAGGGCGGGCGTATGCCTCTGCACAGAGCCTGTAAAAATGGTCACGTGGAGTTGGTGGAGATACTATTGAAGCACGGCGCTAATAAAGAAGCCAAGACCGACGTCAGTACCTTGATTTTGGCACACCAACTGGAACAAGATCCTTGTGTGTATGGGTATTATTCTCATCATCATGTATAACAAAAACAATGCCATGATGCTGGTTTTATGATCCTACAGCATGGCTTGACCCCAATTCACGGAGCCTGTATTCGTGGTTGTGTGGAGCTGGTGGAGAAGCTGCTGACGCATGGCGTTGATGCACAAACTAGGACCGACGTCGGTGCCTCGATGTCGCCCCCTCTTTGGTTGATAAACCTGAAATGTGTTGAATTGTTCTGACATGACGCTGCACCTGCATGCAATGGGGATGCATCAACCTACAGGATGGACGTACACCACTGCACTATGCCTGCCTTTGCGGTCATATCATGGTGGTGGAGACGCTGTTGAAGCATGGCGTTGACGCTCGAGTCAAGAACAAGGTCTGTGCCTTTTTCTTTTCCCTCTATCGTGGACATTCGATTGATGTTTAAGAATCCATCCATGCCATCTCACACATGATGAGGATGCTCGACACACTTGTTCGTCATGGTGTGGTTCATCAACCCACAGGCTGGCATGACACCACTGCACGATGCCTGCCAACGCGGTCATGCGCAGCTTGTGGAAATGTTGGTAAAGCACGGCGTTAGTGCTCGAGTCAAGAGCAGGGTCTGTATCTCTCCCTCCTCTATTGTGGCACAGCCTCTGTTGCATAAGTATTTGACATGCACGGCTAATTCATGTTGGGGACGCTACATCTGTTCGTTGATGTGATGTCCAACCCATAGACTGGCAGAACACCGTTGCACGACGCCTGCCAACACGGCCATGTGAAGCTTGTGAAAATGCTGTTAAAATGCGGCGTTGATGCTCAAGCTAAGACCAGGGTCTGTCCTCGCTTTCCTCTGTTGTGGTGCTACCGACATGCACAGCTTATTCATGATGAGGATGCTGCACCTGTTTGTGATGTCATTCAATAGACTGGTATAGCACCACTGCACGATGCCTGCGCATGCGGTCATGTGCAGCTTGTGGAGATGCTGTTAAAACACGGCGTTGATGCCCAAACCAAGACCAGGGTCTGTACTCTTCTTCCCCGCTCTATTGTGGTGCTGCCTCCGTTGCATATCAATTCGACAGGCACGGCTCATGCATGATAAGGATGCTACACCTGTTCGTAATGATGTCAATCCACAGGATGGCATGACACCTTTGCACGATGCTTGCCGACGCGATTATGTGCAGCTTGTGGAGATACTGCTAAAACACGGCGTTGATGCTCAAGCCAAGACCACCAAAGTGGGTGCCCCCATTTTGCCCCTTCCCGATTTCGATACACCAGTTGCAATGTACTTGATTTCGTTAGCTGTTTCGTCGTCATTGAGTCTGACAAGTGCCTTTAACAATACGTCTACATCCACATGCATAACATTCATACAAGCATTCTTTTTCCTGTAAGTGTGCATAGCTCACACATGACTGTGACTATGCGCAATGGTGTGGTGCCTCAATAAACAGGATCGCTTGACGCCACTGCACATGGCCAGCCGTTTTGGGCGTATCGAGGTGGTAAATTTGCTGTTGGAGCGCGGCGTTGATGCGAGAGCCAAAGACAAGGTCAGTATCACGCTCCAAGTGCAGTACAAAGCGAGATGTGATTTATCCATATATGTAGCTAACGCAAGATAATGATGCTACACTTATATATTGCTGTAATGCATCAACCATCAGGATGACCAGACACCACTGCATCATGCCTGCAGCCTCGGTCAAATGGCGGTGGCACAGACGCTGTTGAGCCACGGCGTTGATGTGAGAGCGAAAGACAAGGTCTGCACCCCCTTCTTTCCGTGAAATGTATCTCATGATATGTGTAGTCAACCCATAATCATGATGGTACACTTGTTTTTCATGGTGTGATGTATCAACCAACAGGATGACTGCACAGCACTGCACCATGCCTGTGACCTTGGTCATGTGCAGCTCGTGGAGATGCTATTGAAGCACGGCGCTGATGCTCAAGCTAAAACCAAAACCAAGGTTTGTGCCTTCCGCTTATCTTTCTCATGGCGGCCCGTGCTCCTGCCTCCTGCCTCCTGCCTCCTGCCTCCTGCCTCCCGCATTCTGCCTCCAGCCTCCTGCCTCCTGCATGCTGCCTCCTGTATCCTGCATCCTACTCCTGCTCTTGGCTCATTTTTCCTCTACAACCTGACCATCGTGCGCAACCGTTCCAATTCTCCCTCCTTCCCTTCTTTGCACCTACACGTTATTGTTTCTTCCTTTGGCTGCACCTCCTACCTGCCCACCTCGCGCTTTTTATCCACTATATTGCGTCTTTGATCCGGCTCAAACGGCTTCCAGCCTGCTTTTTCCATACCCAACTCAACGTTTTATATTCCCCAAAACAAGCCTTTCTCGTTGGATCTTGTATTTATCCAGACTACCTGCCGGCTTCATTGGCACAGGCTGTTCTTGCATATCGTTGCGCCGGCTATATTTTGACAACACCAACAAACCCAAGACCAGCTACACCTCGTTGCCTCGCTCACGTGCTCTGATCGCGACTGTAAACCCCCTCTAAGAACTTTGAAACACCCCTTGAGAGGGGACGTCGGAGAGGGCACGGTAGCAACCTGGAGTCTGTGTTTGCCACCCACGAAGCTCAAATCGCATTCCGCGCGCCTGCACTGCCGTCCGTCTGGCTGCCGCCCTTGCTCAACCATCCGTCCCTTGAGGTGAGCCCCCTCATCCCGATTTATGCTGATAGCCCAAGCCTCTAATCCAAGCTTCAGCCCAAACCTGAACCAACACATTCATGACTGGCCACTCTCATCACCTTGTGACCCGATTAGTCCACGGCAGCGGTCGTGGTTGCGGTGGACAAGTGGCTCAAGCCGCTCCTACCCGAGCGTGCCCCCACCCATCCCCTCCCACATCTGGATGCCTTTATTAGAGGCGCCAGAAAGCACGATCCCAATCTTAGAACGGCGGTTGTTCACATCCAGAAGATCATCAATGAAGCTCCCATGGACCTTCCTGCAATGGACTGGCCAGCCTTTCAGGCCATGACCACCCAAGCCTCCAACGCGCTCAGTCAAGCATTGCAGGTGACCGAAGCACTAAGCGACCGTCTCAGGCAACTGAACCCACAGTCCGACAAGCTAGAATCGGTACTTCAAGAGATGCATGGTCTCACAGCTCAGCTTCAGCTGCTGTCGGTGAAGAACAAGTTTCAACAGCACTTTGACGAGTTTCAAAATCACTTTGGTGTCTTCAGCAAGACGACGAAACCACCCCGCACCAAACCCGCGAAGAGCGGTTCTCCACCTTCCAAACGGCACAAAGCTAGCTCCAGCCCTGACGATGCCGACATGATGCAGAATCCTGGACCGACTCAAGAGGCAATGCCATCCAACCTGGTGCAAGGTCTTGAAAAGCTTGGCAAGCTGCACAATGTTGGGGAAAAGCGCCAAGAGATGCTCAAATGCACCAACAGCAACCTCCAACGTGTGGAATCCGCGTTCATAGATGCGCTGGGCGCCGTAGCACAAGCAGGATCCAGCAAAATGGTCCGCTGCGTGGACATGCTGCTGCAAAGAGTGCAATGTTCAGATGCAAACGTACCACCTCCAGCCAAAGCGTTGTCCAAGGCATGGAAGCAGCTGCACCAGGCCCACCAAAACCTGAGCTCACCCAAGCAGAATGGTCTGAAACAGCTCACAGACTGGAAGGCAGAGCACGACTATGAGCATCAAGCCTGGTATATCGCGTTTGTGTTTCAAGAAGCGCGAGCCCTGATGCAGCAGCTGCAAGACATGGTTGAATGGCAGGCCACGACACTGTCGGTGCTAGATCTATGCCAAAAACATGCTGGTGGTATCAAACAAAGCTGCGCAAGTCAAGTTGTATCTCTACATCAAGAAGAGGCTCAGCTGAAAAGGCAAATTCATGCTACCACTGGGTACTTGCTTTTCGCAAAAGAGGAGCGGCGAGCTGGCGTCGAGGAAGATTTGCAGGAACTAAAGGAGCGCCTCAAAACTCTGGGCCAGCAGCTATCGGACTCAACGCAGGTGGACGAGGTGGCAGCACTGGCAAAGCTGCTGCACCAACACTTCCCAGCCCTGCTGGTCTTTCTGCATCCTGAGCAAAGTGCGTTGGGAGCGCGTCTCCGCACTAAGCTTGGCCCCGATCTTCCGGCCCGGCTCATCTTGGAGGCCATGACTGGAGTGGACCAATTGTTAACGCTCTCCAGCCTGGGTCGGCTTGACCTTTATTACAACCGGAACCATAAGGTGTACAAGGCCCGAGCAGCACTGCCAAGTCATCCCAATCAAGATTTGGCCGTAAAAGAGTACGCATTCGCTCGACAACACAAGCAAGAGAGGTGTCGCGGGTTTCTACGGGAGCTCCGCGCCATGCGGCAGCTTGAGCACCCACACATCATTCCAGTCCTCGGCGCGCTTGTGGATGTTCACGATGGCCACCCGAGCGCCTACCTGGTCCAGCCGTGGTGTACACAAGGGGATCTGCAGCAGTGGCTCGGCAAGGCGCGCCACCTGGCCACCTTAAGCGTGATTGCCGGTTTGATGACTCAGCTGCGCATGGCTCTGGCTTTCATGCATAGCAAGGGCCTGGTGCACCGCGATGTCAAACTGAGCAACGTCATGTTGGACGGCGATGAGGACCAGCCCGTTGTGCGGCTGGGTGATTTTGACATTGCCAAAGCCACAGCCGAGGCCACCATGCTGCCATGCACGGCCACTGCGTCGTCAGGCACGCCCGGCTACATCGCACCCGAGGTCCTCTTTGGCCAGGGTCATGTGGGCGCACGTCCGGCACAGGATGTCTTTTCCTTTGGCTGCGTTTTGTACAACACCTACATGTTCCCACTAACAGTACCACCGGCTCAGTCGCGAAGCGATGAAGTCGTGAACCGATGCAGTTGGAGCATGCAAGCCAACGATCCTTCTTGCAGCTTTCCTCACCTAGCGGCTCAGGTCAGTAACGCATTCTTGGCTGATCAGTGAATGGGTCAGCTCGTGAGCTTATGATTCTTTCTGAATGCACTTTTTTTTGTTTATTTGCAGCTGTGCGACTCGACAAGCGATTTGTACAAGGAAACGCGGGCGTTGCTGACAGCAGATCCGAAGCAACGGCCAAGCCTATTGAGTGCCATGCAGGTTGCACAGCAACATGTTGCACCCCATGTCACATCAGCCATTGACGTTTTGCGGGACGCACCCGAGCTCATATCAGAGGTGTGTGTGTGTGTGTGTGTGTGTGTGCGTTGGCTGTTGCTGCCATTGCTCACTTCGCTTCGTGAGGTGGGTTGATTTAAATGCACTCTGTGATTAGGTGACCGAGTTGTTGAAAGAGCTGAGCAAGGATGGACAAGGGCCACCTAATATTGTAGTGCAGAGGGTGGAGCGCGTGCACAACCCAGTGTTGTGGGAGCGATACCATGCTAAGCGACGGGAGATGTTGCACCGCATCAAAACTCGGGAGCACTACACTCAACTTAAAACGGCCACATTGGATGCGCTTTCGGGCTCTCCAGCTTTGCTTCGCGACTCATCCTGTCAAGAGCGCTTGCTGTTCCACGGTATCTCCTCCGTGAGATCGGTGCGCGACAAGATTGTGCGCCTGGGCCTTGATTATCGCTTTGCGGGTGACAAAGGCGCCCATCGGTTTGGTCTCGGTGTTTATTTGGCAGACCATCCTGGCAAGGTGCGATTGATGCTTTCTTGCAGCCTTGACTGGATCGTAATCGTGAATGTTGCTTACAGGCGTGTTGCTACTCTGGCTGTAGAGTCATGTCTATGCAAAACCTGCACCCAATGGTCAGCGCATGCTCGTCATCACGCGAGCCCTGCTGGGGCATGCCTTTGTCTATCATTCACCTTCCCCTGCGGCGCTGGCTCCACCACTGCTGCCCAACGCACCCAACAATGAGCGGTATGTTAAGCAAGAGGCAATACCTGCAAATCTTGTCGCACCGTTTGATGTGATTTGTCTTTGGCTGTCTCGCAGACATGATTCTGTCATTGCGACACCGCAAGGGAAGTTTCGCGAGGTGGTATTGTTCGACAATGCCCAGATCTACCCCGAGCTAGTCGTTTACTACACTGCCTAGATGTTTTCGTTTTGATTCTTCGTCGTGCAGTCCAATCTGTGGCTCCGAGCACTTGCACTGGTTTTGCACACATCCGGCGTTGTTCACCACAAGGCCCCCATTGCCCGTGGGAGGTTCAACTTTTCTCGCTGACGAGTACACATTCACTCACAAACTTGCAATGTGGGAAGGCACACAAGTTGTTTCGTGTCCTTTGCAATACCTTGGCAGAATGCCATGCCAAATGTGCCTTTGGATACCGACGTCTCTTCTCGTTGCGGCACCTGCACTTTGACACAAGTCCAGTTAGCATCGATCTTTTAGGATGTGATCTGTTTGTGGTCAATTCACAAAGCAAACAGAGGAAATTGAAACGGGAAAAGTACAAAGTAAAATGCCACTTCCGGTCGACAGGACCGTACTTATATCTCGGTGGCAGGAACAATCACAATGTTCGACAGTTTTCCTTGACGAGCGCCGTCAAGGATCATCAGACATCATCCTGGACTGATATCTTCCAGAGTGTTCCAGCAGCTTCTGGACATACGTCTATGCTTGTAGACCAATAGTATTGGTTGGGGTTGCAGAGGTATGTCAGGCTCCACGGCGGGTAGAGGCCAGTTTGGGTTGTGAGGAAGCGCTCAAGTGTTGAAGAAGCAAGCCCAGGGCCCTCTACCATCGCATCCTCGCCAGGTTCACCCACCACGGTGCCAGCAACCGCGACGACGTTGGGCTCAACCTCAGCCACCACCACAACCTCTGCAACCACGACCCGTGCAAGTCACAGGCTTTGAATGCACATGCCCACCTGACTCGCGACGCCGAGGTACACGCCTCACGACCTACCGCGTGCCTGCCACGCGCGTTGTCGGCGCTTGTCCCGATTACGTCCTAAGCATCTGTCTCGCGCCACGCGACGACGAGTCATTGCCTCTCACCCTCAACCTGGAAGTGAAACGCGTCGGCCAGAAGCAATATGCCCACGTTGCCTCGTCACCCCAGCTCCAGGGCGACAACCTGTGCTGGAGCCATCCCCTTGCACTTCAACACCGTGATCGCTTCCAATTTGTCCTTAAACACTCCGAGGGCGTTCGCTATTGGGTCAGCTTCCCAGACGATACCGTCAACTGCTCCTAGTCGTCGCATCGAGGCTCTGGAACGTACGCGTGGAACACACGTAGCTTCTGTTTCTTTCTCCTTTTTTTTTTTTTTTCTAGTCTTCCTTCGGTTGTCCGTTGTTTTCTTTTTCTCTTGTGGCACGTCAACGGCGTGCGCGTGTATGCGTGTTGTGGCGATGGTCTTCGAGCCAGTTGCCGACGCAGGTCTGAGCCTAATCTGATGCTATCATTCCCCCAAATGCCTGTCCTTGCGGTGCTCTTATGTTATCAATCAATGCCATTCTAAGTATCCGCGTCTTCCGAAATCAACTTACTCTGTCTTACTACCATAAGGGCAGCAGTGTCACACGCGCCATCTGCTGCTTGGGCATCAGCATCTTCACTTGAAAGTAAGGAGAGGCCAGGTCATCCTGGATCTGTGGGGTCGCCAGAGGCGGTAGCCGAGCCCCATGGCATCCCAGCCAACGCGCTTTCCAACGGTTTTACTTGGTAGCCAGTGCGGCAAGAGGCGTGAAACGATATCCGGATCTCCGAGGCGACCACGCAGACAAGAGTGAAGTGCACAAATAGCAACCAAACGCTGTTGTGCGCTACTAACGGCCGTGCACTGCACATGATCCTCCTGCCCCTGTGCCTCAGGCTTTGTTGGCTCTTGGCTTCTGGAAGGAACGCGTGCCAGCGCGACCCCAAACCCAGCCTACCCGAAGAGGAATTATAGAAGCAGCGCCTCAATGCAAACATGTTTGTGAAGCAGCTCAAAGGAGCCAAGCAAACTGTGGCCCATCTACTTTGTGCTGCTGCATTCCAAGCACACTTGTACACCGGCGCACAGAAGTCATGCATCTTTACATATGAGTGGAGTTTGATACCTTCTCCTGCCCAAGATAATTGTTGCAAACCCATCGTGTATGACCAGAGTAGCAATGTTCTTTCGATTGGAGCTGGACAGAAGAGAAAAAAATCAAAGTTAAAGCAGCAGCTCAAAACAAAGCGGGCCCATTAGAGAGCAGGCGATCATAGGACTCCAAGAGTATGTTTCTGAAGTTCTCGTATGTCTCATCGTGGTTTTGCACAAAATCTTCGGGTGAGTCTTCTCCGGTAAGGAAATTGGGTAGAGAGCGAGCAGCATTCAAGACAGGTCGCCAGGTAGATCCCAAGTATCCCTCATCCCAAAAATCAGTGCTACGCAGGTCATTTGGCCAGCCGCCCTTTTGCACCATTCGCAAGAAGATGCCCTTTGCAAACATTTCCAGGTCATGTCGGAACTGGGGCACCACCTCACTCTGCAAACCACAACCAGTCGAACATGAGGGGGCTTGCACACTGCAATTCTTCCCACATTCACTGCAGCAAGCGGCACGAACCTCGTCAATCATGTCATCTGCTTGCTCACAAGGCCAGCCAGTGGGTGCAACTGGCTGGCCTGTGCGAATCTCTTCAGCCGACCCCCAGTCGCTGAATAGAATTGTAGAATCCACACGAAAATAGTTGCGGGGAAGCGGGTCACGATGAACAACCCCAGCCTTGTGCGCGGCCTTGAGCACATCCAAAAGCATTGATAGCTCATGTCTTGTAGGAGGCGTGACAAATTCTCTGCCTACAGGGGCCACGACGCAGCAGTAGGGGTACTCTTCCGAGCAACCCTTGAGGACAGGCACGTTTTGAACCTTGGCCAAATCCAGATTGATAAGCATGTCACGCTCCTGCTTCATGACGGCTTTGTCCTGGAAAATCTTGAAGACGGCCGGCTTGTCATGAAAGTCGCCTTTGTACGCCTTGCAGTGCCTGCCCTCGCCGAGAAAGCAGTATGGTTGGTAATACAACGGCTGCCCATCGTTGTCAGGAATGTTCACGAGGCCCACGAAACCAAGCTCACGGGATTGCAGGGGACGAGGGCTCACTGCAGCCGCCATGGGTGGTTTTTTTCTGCTTGCAGCTTCATCACGCTTCTGGCGAGCGTAGGCCTCTTCCATTTTCAAGATGTCTCGGATGAATTCAGAGACATTGCTCAGCTCTGCGGCACGTCGACGCCAGATGGCCAAGTTCACTTCGGCTTCGGCCACGTTCAATTCGGCATCGATCACGCCCGATTTGGCTCGGGTCTGGTCTGCCTCATTCGAACACGCTGCCACTTTGGCTTTGGCCGCTTCCAGTTTGGCTTTGGCCACGCCCAATGCGGCTTCCGCCACGTTCACTTGGGCTTCCGCCACGTTCAATTCGGCATTGGCCACGCCCGATTTGGCTCGGGTCTGGTCTTTCTCATTCGTACCCGCTGCCACTTTGGCTTTGGTCGCTTTCAGTTTGGCTTTCGCCACGCCCAATTCGGCTTCCGCCACGCCCAATTCGGCTTCCGCCACGTTCACTTTGGCCACGTTGAGTTTGGCATCGACCACGTCCGCCTCGGCTCGGGCTTGGTCTCTCTCATTTGTAGCCGCTTCCAATTCGGCGTCGCCCGCTTCCAGTTTGGCTTGCGCCGCCTTCAATTTGGCATTGGCCACACTTGATTCGGCTCGGGCTCGGTCTTCATCATTTGTAGCCGCTTCCACATTAGCTTCAGCCACGCCCAGTTTGGCTTTGGCCACGCCCAATTCGGCTTCCGCCACGCCCAGTTTGGCTTTGGCCACGCCCAATTCGGCTTCCGCCACCTTCAATTCGGCACTGGCTTGCTCCTCTGTGTCCATGGGCGCCATGGCACGTTCCTCAGCGCTGTCCAGGTTCCAGGTTGGCCTCAGCGCTGTCCAGGTTGGCTTCAGCGCTGTCCAGCCTGGCTTCAGCGCTGTCCAGCATGGCTTCAGCGTGTTTAAGCTTGTCTTCAGCCTTGCTCGGCTTGGCTTCAGCGTCTGCAGTTGGGCCAACTGGAGCACGTGAGGCCAGCTTTTCCATTGCTCTAGCTGGGCGCGAAACGGCGCCGGATCGCTCGTCTGCACTGCCACTGCTCGCCATCCTAGACAGAGAAGAAGCCAGAAAATGGTGAGCAGTGCATGACTTTTCCAGAGACCAAAAACAAACATAAGTCGCCTCAGCAGCTCACTACTTTTGGCGCCAAAATGAATTGGAACGACGTGGATTCACACCAAAAAAAGCGGCAGCCATAATG